AGGAATGCAGGCAGTTTGTGGTCTGGCCAACTATGCGCACAGGCAAGGGCCTCATAGGTGAATCAGCCAAGAGTACAGGGGAGAAAACTGCGCTAATGCCTAATAGTTTTACCTTTTAAAATACGTAATTTAGTAATTATTTAGTTTTGCCTTGTCTGAACATTTGATATTAGACATCGCAGACCATGCCACTGTGGGTTGAGTCTTCTGGTGGGAGTGGAAGTAGTTAACATACAAACTATTTGGTGGGAATGTTGTACTCATACAGAACAAGGCTCTGGAATTTAGATGTGTATTGTCTTTACCTCTGTACATGCCACAACAGGTTTGTATAGTAAGTTGCATACTATATGCTACTGTCAGCTGCTCCCATGTGAAAAACAGGCAGCTCTCCATGTTTGATTTGGCAGATTTTTACACAGCATGCCCTTTCCTGATGCAATCCCAAGGGGATTTCTGTCTCTGTTGGAATCTTTCATAGAGTTTTCACTTCATAGGTGAATATATAAACGACTATGTTATGGAGCTGCATTGTACGTACTATACCATACATTTTGCTATTTTAACTATTACTGTGTACTATTCAGATATTTGGATGTATGTTATTTTGATGCTTTGGCAATACTGTTTCTAAAAAAGGTCATCAAAATAAATCGCTTTTTAATGTTACTTTGGCCATTTATGTTATATATTCACTCAACAGCATGGCAGTTTACGCAATTTCCTCACAAGCGAAAGATCCCTGTTTAGATCATTAGAGGCAACACACATCCCTTTGGGGTTGTGTCAGGAAGGACATCTGGCATTAAAAAAAGAAAAGAAAAAAACTCTGCCAAATCAAATATGCTGAGCTACCCATATGTGGTTACCTCTTGGGAATAAGGGAGAAGCCCAAGTAGCTTTAGCCTATGCTGAAAATTGCTGAAGGCAAAAGATGAAGCTAAGGTTCCCTTAAATTAATGTAATGTTGTTATACAGCAGGTCTGTGATTGTGAAGCCAGGCTTTTTGGGGGCAATTCTGTAAGCGGTTGTGACCCCTGACCTTTTTGTAGACCAATCTTTACCAGGGCGCAGTTCTCAGGACTTCATTGTGTAATGGTGTTTATGGCTAATTACTTAAGCTATTTATTACCTTAAGTAATAAAGTAATAAAGTAAACACTTCAAAATTGTACAACCCAGAAATGGGCATGGCAAAGACCCACAGTATTATCTGTGTACCAGCACTAATAGATCAAACAAAAGGGGGGGAAAGAAAGTAAAACACTTTAGTGGTTAGATAATTGCCATTCATTTTCTGCAAACATATTTGTAATTTAACTATATAACCGTAATTCTTTTAGCTTTTCACAGAAATATCTGTTTACTCCTCAAAAAGCATGATTACGCAACCGTTACGGGTCGCTAGGCTACAGTATTTCAAAAATATTTGCCAACGAAGAAGACTTTTCGGGAATTACGTAGCTCTACAGCCGGACGTAGTCACCGCCCCCGCCTTCTACCCGCGCTGTCGTCGAAGATTGTGTGTTTAGGAAGATGCGTGCCTTTATCTAAATAAATTGAAAATTCTGTCTAAAATATTTCTCCGCAATTATAGTTTATTTTTAAAAGATATTAATAGTTTTAAAACATTTATTATAACGGTTATTGAGGTATTTGAGGGACCAACATTATAATTTCTGACATACCCTGACATTTTCAGGCGGAGTGAGTGGTCTGTTTGTTTGCTTCCTCTCTGGTCACAAGCGTGCTCAGTTTCGTGTACAGCAGTAATGCTGCACTTTAGCTTAAATAAATACCGTTTATTCCATATGTTTGCGTACTCGCACATTCTGCCTGCCCTTTAACTTTAACCAAACTACAAGTCAGCAGCACTGTAAACATGGCGGGAGTTATCCGGAGGCTCGACGAGACTGTTGTCAACCGCATTGCTGCGGGAGAAGTTATTCAGCGTCCTGCCAACGCCGTCAAAGAAATGATTGAAAACTGGTAAATTAGCAGCTATATAAAGAGCAGTTTCAATAA